AAAATTATGTGTGTTGATATATCAACTGTCTTTACATGCTTGAAAGAATAAATAAATCAAATCAAATACCTAAATGACTCATTTATTTTACCAAAAAACATAAGCAGTAACTGAACAGCATTGAATTAAACCAACCAGAACTCAGTCAAGTGAAACATTTCATAAATGTGTCACAATCAAGGTCAGAATCAAGGTTCTTGTGTTTCAAGTGATGCTACTCCACTGCCTATCATAGTGTGCAAATCCCTGTTTGAGCCACGCACTTTCCTTTCTCCCAAACCACCCATCACTGTCTACTGAAGCAATAAGAAGACTGCAACCCACTTCCCTTCTGAAGAACATCTGAAGGTCGCTGGGAGGAATGAGTACATGATAAACCGCTGCACAAGACACACAAGAGACATACGAGTACATGATAAACCGCTGCACAAGACGCACAAGAGATCCCATTCAAAGATGGAATCAAACCACCTACAGTACATCAAACCATCAATCAAACACCAACAGCACACAGCATGAGGCTAACCCAGAGTTTTAGTGTGGGTGTGTGGGTCTATGTATAAAAGCCTGATAGCATTGTGGGTAAAACTAATTCCACTGTGACCACAATTATATGAATGCATTTATAAACACAATCAGAATGACAATTTAAAGAGTACAATTAAACATGTACTTACAGACATTACCAGTGTTGTCAAAACTGTTGAGCACTTCATTAACTCTTAGGGGCCCCAGGTTGTCCCTGAGAGACACAAAATACAGACTATCATACAGCAGTCTGGGACAATGCTGTTGTGCTTCCGTGTTACAGACAAAAAACAAGCAGGAGAATATTAATAACTATTTTAAACTTATGGCTTTGTTTCAAAGCTAAAGTATCAAGAAGTGAGCACAGATTTTATGTGTTGTGTATTTATCCAGAATCTCACAAGCTGATGAATTGTAGAGGGCATGTTTGGCTGAATTAAATTTGTAAAACATTTATAAAAAAAAAAATATACAAGTAATTATTTCCACAAATCAAAGTCTATCTTTAGTTTCAATTTTAAACATTTTCAGATGCTATCTCCCAGCCTCCATGTCTAAAATCTGCTACATCTGTGGTAACTGTCTCTGAAAAAGTAATATTTTCTAGACATTAGTTCCATATAACCACTAGCATTAGAATCATAATTCAACCTGTTCCTATACCCTTGATGATAAAAGCAGAATGACAGTGTATACAGTGGTTACTTGTTCGATACTGACTTTTACCCAACTAGTGTGATGTATGGTGCACTGTCACTGTGCTTTATAGGTGTCTGCATGGAACTACAACTTATTTACAGTATGTATACCTGAGAAAGGCACTGTACTCAGGAAAGTAGACACTTGTGTACTCCACCCACTGGTCATCTGAGGTATCACTAGGGTCTTCTGTCTCAAACCTTTTCCTACTGAAAAGGTCAAACGTGGCGAACCTGCGAACAGACACCTGTTTGACCTCCGGACTGTCCACCTGCTTGTGAAGCAGCACCTGTGAGAGTTGTGAGAGGAAGTAAAGGGCAGTTTGTGAATTTTAATTTCCACAAAAGGACATATCCCTTAACTGAGAAATCATGTCATAAAGTGTAAAACCTCAGCATTTGCATAATGAATCAGTCTTCAGGTGGAGTTCACACAAACAGAGTTCATTACTGTACTAGTACAATGTGCAGAAAGCAAGATGGCTCTGCTGGTAGAAACCTTTCTTGTCAGTTCAGTGTATAATGCAAATCTATGGGGAAATGTTAGCCCTACTTTTTCAGCTACTGCTCTGTGTAGAAGGTTCTTGTGCAGTATGTGCATAGCTCATCAGATTCTGTGGCAGGAAGAGAGCAACAGATTCCAACTGGCAACAAAGTTACACTAAATCTGGGAAAGATAACTATATTGTATATAAAATTACTTGTTGATGATGCTGATGATTACAAGTTTTACTATGTCAAACTACTACTGGAAAAAAGCTACTTTTCTAAGTGCAGCAGACTGAGAAAAGCATATTATTTATCTGTGTCCTGTCTATTTTGTTTTTAATTCCAAAGAGAGTGCGCTTCATTTCTGTAATAATAGTTGGTTTATCAAACTGAAATTACATCTATGTACATAAACTAGGGTGAAACATGACAGGAATGTCCCCATCATCCTTAATGTTCCACAGTTATGAGCAGCAGAGGGCAAATATTTGCCCTTAGGTCCTCAATACTGTGGCACCTTAGCCCCACAACAAAATTTAAAGTTTGCTCTTTTATTGTTTACGTCAAAAATTTTATATACAAGTGACTGATTATGTGTGTAGATTACTTATCAATTACATTTCAAGTCTCACAGTACAGCAGAAAACATACATCTTCCTATACCAGTCATTTTTAAAGAATAAGCGACTTAACGCTGTCCAGAGAAAGTGGCCTCTGATCTGCCTTTGAATGGGATTTTAAACCCAGTTCTAAAGAAATAAAATACTCATCAACAAAACTGTATGAGAAAAGAACTGTCAATGGATACGACTAAAAACTACCTGGGCCCCCACTGAACAGTGCTGTAAAAAAAACGGGCCCATTAACCAGTCACAAGCACAATCCATTTGTGCATATACCTGTCTCAGTAGAGTCCACCTGGCTCGGGCGACATCAGCAGCAGCACAGGTCTCAATCCCGGACGTGTGGGAATTATCCGTGCAGGTGTCTTCATTAATATTTTTCCCCAAAGGCGAAGCCGGTTTCGTCTTTTCTGCAGTAATGTTGCCGATGGAGTCCCTCTCCATTATACCTTCGAAGTTTTGAACAAAGATAAAACTGTAAACAAATATAGTGGCTGTAGAGCTGTCACAGTTATCAGTAGCAATACAAAAATAAGGCTTTTTCGTAAACTACACCAAAGCATAAACGATCGCAGATTCAGATTTCCAGCTGTCACCTGTTACACTCACAATGGACGCATGCTACTTCCGTACACTTTTGGCTTTTTAGACATAGCAATAGATTGTCGAAACAAATATGCTCGATTATCAGTACTTGCCATGAGATACAGAAGAGGGATTAAGTGGTGTTTCCCCTTATCTTTACATAAATTTATTCCTAACCACAACCACTCGTCTGTTATGATGCTTTAATCCCGAGTCTTGGACCCTGATACCTGCCGATATTTCAATTACAAATTGTTGGCTGAGCATATCTGAATTGGATTATTTCAGTCTTGCATTGCTCACTACGTCATCAACAGCGGGCTTTGTTTAGGAAAGCATACACGTGTGTACAATTTGGCCACTGTTGTCAATGGTTAAATAACGTTTGATCGACTTAAATAACAAAACTATAAATGTTACAGTTATATAAATATAATGATTAACTCTATTTTTTTATGTAAAACGTGTTTACAGTCGTGAATATGGCCGACTTGACAAGTGACAACTAGCTACTTAGAACCACATACACTTAGCTCCCATCTGTTAATCTAGCTAATTAACAATGGTCGTTCTCTCCTCTCTGCTGTGTGTTCGTCTTGTTACATCATCTGGGTTGCGATTTTTGAAGCCCACCATTTGCACACGAACAGCATGGCTCTCCACGTCCATCCAGCGTAGTTACACGTCGGTAAGGGTGTTTATGATGCTGCGTTTAATAACCATGGACCTGGTGTAAGATTACTGGATGTTAATTAAGATAGCTCCCACTAACGCAAAACCATTCATTATTCAGTACGGTTTCGGTTCACCACGCTGACAAAACTAGTCCTGTAGAAGCCATGGATGGTGCTGAAACTGTTCCCCTGTGGTCCACTGCACTGACACAATAAGTTCAAGGGAATGGACACTTTATCACCTGTGAAATGTTATTAATGTCCTACGTTTTCATTTACTATGTGTCAGTTTTGTTTGTGTAGCACTTTCATTCACAGTGGCAATTCAGAGTGCTTGTCAGCAAAAAAAGAAATTGATCAAACATAACAAATTCATACAACAAAAGTAAAAATTACAAATGAAGCCATTGTCATCTAACAATAAAATGAACATAAGCATGCTTCATATGATTTACTCCCATATTAGTGGTCTGTTTTTGACGTTGCCATAATAACAGTGAAATAACATCTACATGCTACTTAACCCTGGTTTACAAACTATAATCATTTTATTTAAGTGTCTTACCCCTGTCACTCTTGCACAGAATACAGATATTTTCATGGAAACAACAGTGGCCCTTACAGATGGTGCTTGGTGTTACTGGCTTATTATGTCTTTTCATAATTAATACCGTTTTATTTCAGGGCTCTACAAACTCATCAGTAGGTCATCTCAATTCTGGACCTGAGAGATACAAGGACTTACAGAGGTATTTCAGCAGGTTTTTTTTTGTTCTCCAACATACCTGATCATTCGGTGGTAAGTCCTGCCTTCTGCTTCACACTCAGTTTATTTTATTAAAATAAACAGATATCAGTCCCCTGATTACCTGATGTGTAAGGACAGCAACCAAGTTTAATATAATCCATCTCATAGTGTTATGACTACCAACATTTTGGAAGAGTACTGTTGCATTCATCTGGCTGTTCCCTTGCTAAGATGATAACTTGGGGCATTTGTGAAATTCAACATTATGTGATTTCTCTTGTCGCAGGTCTGTGGACAGCACCATGTGTATTTCTTTGAAAGAGATAGCATCTACAGAACTGACAAGAGACTGAGTAAGCAGAAAACAGCTTTTTTTTAAGAGGCACACAGGAAACTAGGGGTGAGAGAAGGGGACATGACCTACAACACAAACCCCAGGGTAGAGTCAAATTGTTGAACTTCTGGTTATGTGACATGTGCTTTAACTGTTCATCTACCAAGGCACGCCACATAAAGGAAACTTGAACACAGAGATATGTAGTTCATACAGCCATTTATTTCAGCAACATGGTAAAGACAATTGGAAGTGTACATAAAAAGGAGAATACAGAAAATAAACTGCAGCACCTTTTTCTAATATAACCTTAGTCCCACTTCTGTATTACAGCATTATTACTTTTTATGTGCTCCATTATTAAGGGTAGTGGCATTTACACTTTTGTGAATGAGTTTCCTCTCTTCATTTGTAGGTGAGCCGGACCCAGAGCAGGTGCTAAATCTAGGACACGTCTCTAGAGGGAATGAGAAGGCAGGACTTGAGAATGAAGCGAGGAAGCAGATCTTTCAATGGACCATCCAGAGAATACGCCTGTCCCCACAGGAAAAGCATTTTGCTGCCATGCTAAAAACTAATCACAGAGAAGAGCTGAGGTGAATTAGACAGAACAGGATTTGGCTCACAGAATACCTTTGATTTGGCAGCAGTGTTTTTTTTTTTCCATGTTAAATTTTAAAATGTTAAATTTACTTTTCATGCTGTGATGGACCAGGTGTGTGGTTGTGAAACTTGAAAGACGAAATTCCTCTCCTTTGGATCCCTCCCCCATCATACTCACACTAGACAACGTCTTCAGCTTTGGTATGTTGTAAATAGTTGGCCTTGTAAAAGCGGTATTTCAGTAGCAGTAGAGGTAATGTTCTTGTGTATGCCTGTGTCTTCATGGGTGAAGAGTGGGCCTCGGATGATGTCCTGTTTTACACAACTCTGGAAGGTCAACGCTGCAGCAGAGTATTTCATCTGGACCTGACCTCCACTGATGCCAGGATACGCTTGGTGTATGAGGAAACACGGCCTGAGTAGGTGTAATAATGTGATATTTTAGCTGCTTCTGCCCCCGCTCCATCTCTAATTGAAACACCACATCTCCCCAGTGTGTTTGTGGAGGTTGCCCTTTCCAGAGACCGACAGATACTGAGCATCAACTGCAGTAGCAGGACCAGTTCAGAGGTGCTGCTAATTGACACAACAACATCCAGTTTAGAGCCTTTCCTGGTTCAGCCACGCCAGCCGGACCTCCTGTACCATGTGGAGCACTGGAGAAGGTGGCTGATTATACTGGCTAATACAGGGCCTGGACAGGAATATCAGGTAGAGTTGGTACAGTTTACGTACACTACCATTGACATTTAGCAGTTCAAGTCGAATGTATAACCTTAAATGGTACAAAGCTAAGAAATAAACTGCCAGAGGTAGAACAAGCAAACAAAAAAGTTTTTGTTCTTAGCCACCATGTAGTTTGTTCATTTTACTGTATGACTAGAAGTAGTTGGTCCCTAATAGCAACTTGATTCTGCTGTGGTAATTCTGGGTAGTACATTTAGAAGAGGAGGAACATGCAGATAAATTGTGTTAATTTTAGGATCTTTTTTCTTAAGTGAGGAGATTTATCCTTCTGCATGCTCACTAGGTGGTGCAGGCCCCGCTCTCAGAGCCTTCCATAGTCTCCTGGATCTCATTGTTTGGCCCTGGCCCTGGCACTGCAGTCAAAGACATGGATGTGGTCGGGGATCACTGTGTCTTGGTTGCAAGACTGCCAACCAGCGAACTTGCCCTAATCGTGGTCCCGTTGACCCATCCTGAGGAAGCATACACTGTACAGGTCAGTGTGTCTGAAATCTCTGTTTAAGCTATTTTTTTTCTGTCTTTTGCGCCTTTGCTAGTTTGCACATATGTTGCTTCTTTTGCTTTTTACTTGCTCAGTGTTGCATTTATATTGTTGCATTGCTTTATGTTTTATCCTTACATATTTTCTTAAACTCATATCCTATTTTCCCAGCTCCCCTCGTGGGTATGTGCCATCGAAACCAAGAAACCAGGCTTGGCAGACCAACACGATGTGTTAGAATTCCTGATCTCGTCTCCAGTCCACCCACCTGTGCCCTGCTGTCTGTACCCTGAGGATAAGCTGCTTTTAGCAGGCTCTGGAAATGTGTCCTTCACAGAGAACCTGGGCAATTATACCATCACACGCTTAGATGCCTGCAGCCAAGTGAGAAAATTTGATATATAAGACATATGCACACTTACTGACACAGTATCAGCAGGGAGTCAAGTGTTTTGTATCAAGTGTATGCTGACAAAGCTTTTCTTTGGCATGTAGCCACCAGAGACAGAAGAGCTCAGCAGTATGCACTTTGCCATGCATCTCACACACCTACACGGAGAGCAGCAAGTGATGACATTCACTAAACAAATGTGTCATTATCATTCAATGCTTAGTCACCTCTCCTCGTTACATTCTCCAGACCAGTCTCTCTGCCTCTACTGTATAGGATGGTACCTTGGTGCCACTTACACTGTTTCATGCAGTACCTGTGGAGGGTTTGAGTTCTGCGCCACTGCTGGTCCATGTCTACGGAGCTTATGGCAGAGATCTCAATATGGAATTCTGCCCAGAGAAAAGGCTGCTGCTGGAGCAGGGATGGGCTCTGGTCTACTGTCACATCAGGTGAAATGTCACTTCTCTAACAGCCTAAAAACTAATTTGATTGGCTCACCATTTTTTGCTGATAAGTTAGGCATGCTTTATGGAAATAATACATGTGCTTACATTGAATGTTGTTCCAGGAAATTGTTAAAAAACTGTCTGTGAAGGCTAATTAACTCTGGAATTCAAATTTAGTTTTGATTACTTTGTACCTTTACACCTCCCAGAGGTGGAGGGGAGCGGGGTCTGTCCTGGCAAAGACAAGCTCGTGTGGAGGGGAAGCAGAAAGGAGTGGAGGACCTTCAAGCCTGTCTCCAGCACCTCTTCTCCATAGGAGTCTCCTCTCCTTCACTCACTGCCCTTACAGCCTGCAGTGCTGGGGCTGTGCCAGTGGGAGCAATGTGCAACAGACACCCACACATGATGCGGGCTATCACACTGCAGGTGAGATGTTAGATCATTGGAGAATTGTGTGTTTGTGTGCATGTTTTTTGGAGATTATGGCTCTTAGTGTATGTCTGTGTTGAGAGAACAAGAATATTTGGGACTCTCTGTTTTCCTCTAGGGCATTTTAGCAGAGAGGGTGTTTACCGATCTGTAATGGTTAAATAGAGATTGAAGCAGAGTCCACCTGCTCAGTACACCATGCTCCACCGCACATGACATTTATCCAAAGCCATCTATCTTCCTTTGCTCAGGCTCCTTTCTTGGATGTGCTAGGAACAATGGAGGATCCCAGCCTGCCTCTAACTTTGGAGGATAGAGAGGAATGGGGGGACCCTGTAGGGAACCCAAAACACAGACTTACCATCACCTCCTACTGCCCTCTTCATAACATTACTCCTCAGGTATGGAGGAAAGACTAAAAAATTTAAAAGTCTAGCTGTTTCTGTGCATTGGCTTGAGTAAAATGTGTCATCCTTCTGTGTTTTGACTGGCACAGATGATTTCCTTTGTTCACTTGGCTTCTCATGGTCATAGAACGAGAGATGGATTTTAGCACTAGATTTTTAGGTGTCTTCTGTGATGAAGGTTGTCTTGGTTTCTTAGATTTGGTCTGCCTTTCAGATTTGCCTGTAATGCTGTGTACCAAACAGGTCATTTAGACTATGCTGGAATCCCATTTTAAATTCTCAGCCCCACTTTCTGGTCCGGACCCAGTGTTTAATTCACCCTGTGCTATTCAGTCATTTTCTGGCTCTCTCTGAAAACAACTAGTTTGCACCACTGAAAAATATACCAAAGCTTTACAAATGTTGGTCTTTAAGATGTAATAATTAATAACTTTTGCTTAGCACCATAATGAAACTGATTGTCCATCCTGTGTAAATATGTACTTGTGCGTTTGTGAGATAGCGCTACCCGTCGATGCTGCTGACAGCCTACAGTGGTGATGCCAGGGTTCCTCTAGCAGGTGTTCTCAGATACACTGAACAGCTAAAGAAGGCCATTCATACACACTTCACTGTTAATCCAAAGACAGGTATGTACACTCTCACACATTTTGTCACAGCTTAATTACTTGTTGATCATGTAGGTGAGCGTGTGCAGCCATACTTTAAAGTATCGATGCACAGATGAGTCAGAATTGGCCAGTTTTTATCTTGATCAGCTATGAACGGTGACCGGCTGATCACTCTGAAATATCCAGTTCTGTGCTGCTCATGCACAACGGTCCACATTGCGCACACAGTGGCACAGGCTGAAAGCGTAGCATGTGCAGCGAAAAGTGTCTTTTGGTCACCTTGAGCAAGGCTCATGCTCGTGTCTATACTGGCCGTGTATTCACTCGAGCATTGGAAGCACTTGTACAAACAGCACACACAGGAGCCTAGAGAAACACATTGGAGTGGGGGTAAATATAATTTATGCATCAGAGGTTTCAGCTCCCAAGAGTTGTGTCAATGGGCATGTCTGCATAGTAGCAACTATATGACGGTCTAGCTAGGTAGAGCGCTAATAACATCTGAAGTTCATGACGAAATGTCGGCTAACTGCTCTCATTTGCCCATAGACTCTTTCTCCCTCTCACTTATAATCTGCCTTCACAAAATTGGTGGTACTCCTCTTTACACTCCTCTCTCTCTGTCGCACTGCTTCCACTCTGTCTCACGTGGACACATTATCTCTCTCCTGCTTTCACTGTCCTGTTGCTCATACACAAATACACTAGGCAGCTTAAGTGTATGTGTGTGTGTGTGTGTGTGTGTATAGGTCTCTGATCTGTCTATGTTCTCGGGAGTCTTTGATAAAGTGCTGATGGCATAACGTGCAAACGAGTGGGCGGTCCCATTAGTGTGGCAAAGGGAGAGTGTATCAGAGCGAGAGATTAGACGCCACAGACCGGGAGCTGTCAAGGTCAAGACCACACTTGTGAAACGGTCCATACCAGAGACTGGGGGAGGGTTAGAGCTCAATATCAGATGGGAGCAAGAATGAATGAAAGGAGAGTAAAGTGAGTAAAGAGTCAGAAGAAGATTTGAAGACAAGATTTGGGGCAAGTGGACAGAGAGAAAACAGGGAAAGGGAACAAGAAAAAAATATTAGAGAAATGTCCAGGAGAAAGTTTAGACTACAGATCATTTTCTCTCTTTCTTCTCCTTTTTTAGAATGTGAACCTGCTCCAAACATAGTTCTAAATATCCAACCTGGAGCAAACCACTCTGGACCAGAGGACTTTGAGCTGATGCTGGATGAGGTAAGAAATTCTCCTGCAAAATGGCAAAAGTCTTAAAAAGATTTCTAACTCGGGAAAAATATTTTCTCAGGTTTTTAACAGTAGACTTTTTAAATATGTGCTTCCAAGCACATCTACAGATAAGTTAGACACAAGTAGCCCAATTTTTTCAGTTTCCCCAATCACACAAAATTTTGCCATGTGGATAGACGTTTTCATTTTCATTTTCCAAGGCTTTGAGACACAAATGTATTAGAGGTGAATGGAATTATAGTTTTATTTACCAATCAAATGACTCAGCAGCTAAATCTGATTTGCGCCTGGATGACTAAAGCATCCAGTAGGTGTTATGGATGTTTAACTGGATGTTTCCTCACACTGAGGACAACAGACATTAGTTGGATTGATGGTCACAAACTGAGATTTCTGTTTGTGTCTTTTCTTTCCAAAACAGGAATCCCTTAAACTAGCATTTCTATACACAGAGCTGGGCCTGGACCCTCCTCGGCCTCCGCGCAAGCGAAAGAGATAGCGAGGCTATCGGGAGGCAGTTGGACATTAAGCTACCAAAATCCAACCACGACCACTATAATGACACAATTCCAGTAGAAGAGAAGACGACAACAATGAATGTAACTGCAATGGGCCTCTTTATTATGACAAATCTCTTACAGAGGAAACACCAGATCTTGATTTAATTGCTGCTGTGAAACTAATCACTGAATACGGCTGTCTGTTTATACTAGCATTTGTAAAGTATGCCCATGACCCCCAGATAGCAGGCCTTCTCTGAGATGTAGCACTGTTTGGGGTGGTTGAGATTAAAGCGAGTGTAGGAGGAGTACTGAATCACCAAACCCTCTCCTGCTTCTGTCAGAATGCGAGACTTTTGCAGTACCTTACCATCATTGACTGGTTTTGTACTCATCAGGACCTTCAACTGGTCTGGTAACTCATGAACAGAGGAGAGATCTGTGACCGCAGATTCTTTGCCAAAGTTAAGCACCATGAGGAAAGCTTGGTCGAGCCCGTCAAGCTCTCTGAGGTAAGAAAAGACTTTGGCATCGGCATGGATGTAGCAGAACCACCCACGGTGAAGGGAGAGCTCGGACTGACGCAGAGTGTTCAGGAAACGGTACTGAGCCAGAACGGAACCTTTATCTTTCTTCTGGACCTAGAAGAGAAACGGCGGCAAAGGAATGCATGATCTAACAGAAGATAAGCAGCTCTGGCCAGATGTTCCTCTAGATGTAAGAGTTCTATACCTCCACGTTGACGCTTCTGTAGTCAGGGTGTACAGGCAGCCAGGTGATGTTGGTTATGCTGTTAAAGCCTGCATTCACGTCACTACTCCACTGCATCGGAGATCGCTGAGGGTCCCGACTGGCACTCTGCAGTGAAAGACAGGACTCATGTTGGCACTTCAGCTTTTTCTGTCAATGAACGTGTGGTTACACAATGTATGCCTTATCAATTTATTAGGTACACTAAGATAAAATTAATGCCAATGTCCAAAATAAATACTACCTTTAAAAAGATTGTTTTTTCCTTCTAAAAAAATACTGATTCAATACTGTACCCTTGTCCAGGCTGTGTTCTGTGGTGCAGTTTAAGACATGTTTATACTCATTTATTCACTACACACATTGTCATGTTGTAATGTGATATTTTTTATGTATCTACTACACTGGGGAGAGACGTTACAGTGGGTATTTGTGTTTTTTTTTCTGGGTGTGCACAGTACTGACTGCGTTGTATTTGCCAGCAGGGTCCTGGATCTGACTGTCTGTGACATTAATGTTCTCCATGCCGATCTCCTCGCCGTAGTAGGTGGTGGGCGTGCCTGGAAGGGTCAGCAGCAACATGTTGATGACACGAATATAGGTCTGGCCAGCACTGGAGCCAATTCGAGGCTTGTCATGGTTCCCAACCTGGCAACAGTGGAAGTGAGAGAAATACCTGAGTGGGGAGGGGAATGACATATCCTAAGCTGGAAAGGAAGAAGGCAGTGTGCAGGTGACAGATGGGAGAAAAAGCTGACGTTAGAGTGAGGGTTACAGGATAGATAAAGTGGGAGCAAAGCCTGAGGCCGGCTGAGATGGAGAGACAGTGGGGTTAAACTGTCACAGGGAGTAAATGACACTGCAGCAGTCAGAGAGCAGTGTGCAGTATCCTCCTCTTCAGGTTTTGTTCCCGTGAGCTCTAAGATGGGCAGATCAGTGTGGCTCATACTGGAGACACCTCTCTGTGATAAAAGAAATCTAAATCAACTTGTAACTCATCACATGATCTGACACGAGCTTTTAATGTTAAACAGTTAGCACCCTGTGTAACAAATAAAATACAAAGCTGTCTGTGGTTATAAAAACACTGAAGAAAAACTGACATCAAGAAGAAGCAGCTTTATTGTCATTGTAACACTGTGACACGGACAACAAAATTTAGTTTGGAGCCGAGGGCCATGGGCCGCTGCGTGCGTACGCGTCGCCATCACGGGCAACTTGGGGGTTCAGTGTCTAGCCCAAGGACACTTCGACATGTGGACTGCAGGCACCGAGATTCGAACCTTTAACCTTCTGGTTGGGAGACTGCTCTACCCACTGCACCACTGTCACCCCCATCAAGACATGCTGGCACAGAAAAATGTGGTTATAAATTAAACTAATGTTGATTGTGCAAGTTTAATATGTGCCATGATACAGCTCAGCCATAGAAATCCCTGATTTGATCTTGTGGCTTTTATTATTCTGATGGAGATCAGGAAGACCAAGCATATTTAGCAGAAAGGTGGGGTTTTGGGATTGTCCCTATGTGGCATTCTCTTTTATAAAGAAACAAATTCATAAATAGGTTTGTGATGACTCACCACCCAGTTGGGCCATTTTCCCTTGGGCATGTTGGCCATCCAGAGGTGGACCAGATGTTGAATCCACAGGCCACTGGTGTTCTGAGGCAGGTCCAGCAGATAAAAGTTAAAGGGGAAGTCACTTTCTTTAACCAGCGAGCTGCCATAGTACATCATGGTTTTGTCCACCTCGTGATAATCATAGGACTCTGTCACCATGAACCTGGAGTGCAACAAGAACATACGAATTATAGCGTTAAAACGATGACATGCAGGCCCAGGACATGTCATACCTCCTCTTTCATTCCCATACTTCCTGTCTATATCTTCACTGTCAAATAAAGGTAAAATAGTAGGAAGATTGCCATATTATGTCAGTTATTTATTGGTTTATCAAACAGATTTATTAATCCCACACCAGCTGTCTTTGTCATTTATTTTTTATTATTCAGAATTTATAATATTGAAAGAGCTTATTTCATACTACATCTTTATGGCTTCTGTCTAAAATTCACTACATAAGAATGCATAACATGCAAAAGAAAGTTGGAATGGTGGTTTTTGTGAAGCATATGGCATCATCATATGTAATAGCTCCTGTACCTGTATTTGCCAGGTTCGCGGCTGTAGATGTCCATCTCTGCCCTCCAGTCCCTCAGCAGGTCATGTAACCCCAGCTGACTGGTGGTGTAGTCATGGTGGAGGTCCCACTCTGATGTTATAGATTCCTGCAGTGTCGCAAATATAAAGAAATATGAGGCAATGTAGCTGGCACTGGTAATGTAGCCTGTTGAACAAGTAGCCTAAGTCTTGTGCTCAGGGTTTGCAAATGGTTAAAGCAGGGGAGTGAGTAGTGGATCATTATGGTCAAGTTCATGAGATCATCAACTACAGTGGGTTAAGAGGACTCAAAGGTATTTTTCTCTTCCCACTGGCAGTGAGGAGAGCTTTGGTATAAATGTTTTCCTTTGTTGGGCCAAAGACCAGTGTCTGGTCACTGGCCAGTTAACTGGAAAACAAGAAGAAACCAGATACAGAATGGTGATCACGTGGTAACAGACTTTTGGGCTCTGTAACCAAGGAGTGCTGTTGCACATAAGGAATGTTCAATGTTTTGTGCTAACTAGCTTTGTTGGTACATTTCTGGTTATAGTCTTCATTAAAGAAGGGTAAAAAGATAGAATACAGTGAAAAAAGTATCTTATGAAGTGATACCCATATGGAAATTCACTCCGGTGGGCCCGACTACATTACAGAGCACTAGATTAACAATTTTAAGGGAACCAGCTTGGTACCTGCTCAGTACTGAAAGGCCTATTGTGTGTCATTATGACTGGGTGAAACTGAAGCACAGAGGCAACACACAACTCCACACAGAAAGGGCCAGCCATGAATCTATTCAGACGTAATTACTGAAGTGCTCAGCACTGAACTGACATGCTGCCACATAAGCGAACCATTCAGCCAAGACAACACACATCAGTTTGCCTGAAATGAATGATACAACTGGCACTAAACCACTAAAGCAATAATGACAACACAGATAGTTGCTCAGTTATGATTGACTGAATCACATTCAATGCTGTGGTAAAATTCTTACTGTGCCAATAAACACATGTGACTCTTTATTAAAATGCTGCGGTTCCACTGTTTTGTAAATGCATGAAAATCCATGTGTGGTGCCTCACGGTGACAGAAAAATACAGCTTTTACCCTCACGGTGACAGAAAAATACAGCTTTGTTCAACTTGTGGATGGTCAGTTTGGATGTAATGCTGCAGGGGTGAGTCAGTCTCAGTATTATGGGGTTATTCTGTGGTGTGGTAGTAAATCCCCAGTGATTTACAAATCCAGTAGACTATGCCACTTTCCTCTTTGAGAAATTACTTTCCCAAAAAACTGTTTAAATGTAGGCTATATATTTTCTTAAGACCTGTTTATGCTAAATCATAGGTGCAACTGTATAGGATTGAAGAATTCTTTGTCTGCACCCTCAAATATCACTCACTGAAGTTAAATGTGGGTTGAGCCGATTCCTGGTCTTACATGAGATTACATGTTTTTGGTGGCACAGCGTTCCTCCTGCTCTGTCATCCGATATGCATCCATTTGAAATGAGAGATCAGATACAAGTCGTTATGTTCGGTGGCCATGTGTGGTCACGGAACTGAACTGAAGAGGTAACACTCACTGGTTGTTTCTTTGGGTCCACCTGTGGTTCATCCCTCAAGTGTGCAGCCTCCAGGATGTGCTTCACCGCATCCATCCGGAACCCATCCACTCCCTTGCCCAGCCAGAAACGAATAAGATCCTGAGATGAAACAGTAAATATAAAGTACTTAAAATTAGTGTGTCTATAATATGACCCTGTGAACGTGGGGGAAAGTGAGCTGACAACAGGACTAGACTCTAATAATTGTAATATTGTTTTTTTTTTACACCAATGACAAAAGGACTATTGAGTGTAAAGATGCACAATATAAACACAGGCACTGTCTGTCATTGCTTCTGTTGCACTTTGTGCCGCACATAACAGCATCGGTTAAAAACTCAAGCATTAACTGGCCTAAGTTAATGTGTAATCAGGTAATGTGTAATCATTATTGTTAGAGATTATCCAGGATTATTGCTACCACAAACACTGAGAACACAAACAGGTGGGAACAACGCTGACAAAGAGCAGCGTGTGGTCATGTAATCTTACAATGATCTCTTGGCGAACATGTGGGTTTCTGAAGTTCAGGTCTGGTTGTTCCTTGAGGAACTGGTGGAGGTAGCATTGTCCTCTAACTTCATCATAAGTCCATGATGAGTTACCAAACACACTCACCTGAGAGAAAGGAGTAGGAAGACAGGGAAGGAGCAGGAAGTGTAGTCATTAGGAAACCACGTTGTTAAAGACTGCATTAAAAAAAAAAGAAAAAAAAAAAAGAAAGCTTTTCAACTCTATCTATGTAGAGCACTGCATCAGCAGAGGCTGAGTAAAAATGTGCCCCAAAACTAAAACACCATTAACTGGTGAGAAAGTACCAACCCAATTATTAGGCCTTGGTGCAGTAGCATTGCAGTCAGTCCAGACATAGTAATCTTTGTAGTGAGGATCTCTTGCTCGGCTCAAGTTAAACCAGCGATGCCGGTCACTGGTATGATTGGGAATGAAATCCATGATCAGCTTTAAACCTGATGGAAACCGAGAAGGATTAGTATGAGTCAAAGATGTGCACGCTGCCATTGAGCCAACCCCGTTACCTCCCAAGAACAACACATGATGGTCCACCATCATTCCTCCCACCACCCACCTCCATAGGAGTATGAATACCTTTGTTGTGCATTTCAGCCAGGAGCGCTTCAAAGTCCTGCATGGTTCCAAAGAGTGGGTCGATGGCTCGGAAATCTTCCACATCATAGCCAAAGTCCTTCATAGGAGAGCGGTAGAAAGGACTGATCCACACAGACTTGATGTTCAGATACTGGAAGTGATGGAGCTGCTTCTGAATTCCTGCCAGTCCAGAAACAACACACTAAGGCAACGGAAGTGGCTTGTATCATCACTTCATTTTCTAAACAAGCTGTTCAGTTTGTAATCTGCTACAATGTTAGGACTGAGGCTAACATTAGGTTCCAATATTTCCAAACATTTTGAAGCAGTATTTTCACTTGTACTGGCTCCTTGATCACCTTAGGCCTACAACCTACATGTTCTTTAAACTGTCTCTAAAATTATGCATCCAACCAATATGTTAAACTTTAGAACCACCATATCAAATTTAAAGCTTTCCTTTGAAGTCATTGTTGTATTTTCACCTTTTAATGTATATCTAAATTATAATCAAGATGTTTCTCCATGACGTCAGGTGCCCCCCTCCCCTACTAGTTTTGTTGTCAAAGAAAGGGTTTGATGGAGCAGCCAGCAGCGTTAGGGGTATCTCACCTTTGAGGTCTCCCACTCCATCACCGTCCGAGTCTTTGAAGGACCGAGGGTAGATCTGGTACACCGGGGAGGCCTGCCACCAGGCAAGGCACCGCGGCGACAGCGCGATCACCGTGGCCGTGAGCGCTATCAGCGTCAGAGTGCAGGCTATCGTCAGCCAGAACAGGATCTGTCGGGGGACCCGGTACCGGGCCCGAGAAGAGTACAGTACCAAAACCTCCTTAGGCATCCCGGCGTACGGTTTGACCTGCGTGTACACATCAGCCGCGTCCGAGTCCAGCCTCACCGCGGGGGAGTCCTGCTTCCCCACCGGGTTGGGGTCCGTGGTGTCGTACGCAGGGGTAGTGCCTTCTGTATCCTGATACCCCGGGTTCCTGGTGCAGTCCCCCAGCTCTAGAGTACCGGCATGTTTCTTAAAACGCATGATTAGACTTCTTTTAAGGAAACTCTTAAAACAAAATCGGTTGCTATAGATCTTCAGAAAGACCGAGTGAGTGAATGAGGCAATGATTAGTACCTACTCAGAAAGGGTCATAGTACGCACAGTCCTCTCCTATCTGCCCTCCCCTGTCTGTCCCTCTCTCTCTGTGTGTGTGTGTGTGTGAGTGTGTGAGAGAGAGTGAGTGAGTGAGTGAGAGAGAGAGAAAGCAGTGATATCTCTGGAATGTATGAAACTGGAGAGTTTGATGGGAATGGATAGGGATGAGCTTATGGAAGTACATCCGCGTCAAAGCGTTTGAGTACGCACAAACCTAGTCGGCATTCGCGAGAGCGCAGGCACATATTTGTAAATGCAGAATCAGATTTGAGGACAATCCTGCCCCAGCCTGCGCTCGTTTCTGAGCCTGCACTCCCAGATTTCCCCACTTGGATTCATATATCCTTTGGAAGAATGGTGTTCCCCGTCCCGCAGTTACTCTACTTTGTACTGAACAGTGAAAGCTTTCAAAAACCACACGCTGACATTTCAAGATGGCACTAAAAAGAAACAGTTCAAACTGTTTAAACTTAATCTTTATTATGTTTATGTTCAGTGTATGGTTTGTAACATCACAATAGCCATACTGGGAAATTAGTATAGGAAGAAGGGATGGTGAAAACCCTGGGTGTCTCATAAAACGTCCCTCCACTGAGTCTTCTCAGAGGCTCGAGGGCAAGTGGATCATACCTCACTGTCAAATACATCCGCTTATCGTTACCTTATTCTGTCTTCAAAATACAGCATTTTTATAAGCGTTAAAAAGCACTGGAATAAATACAAACAAGTGTGGAATTCATCATTGCCATCATACATCTGTCAGTGACCAGCGAAAGAGAACTAGGGTTCATTTCCATTCTAAAAAGCACACATGAGGAATGTCATGTCTGTCTTTCACCGTTTTACATTTTTGTAGCAGTTTCCAAATTCTCACCTCCCTTTGGGCATCCTCACAGTCGCATCAACTGAGCCGCAGACTACGTGCTTTGTAAAACTCTCTTTACTAAACAAATCAAAGCAATAAGTCTGGGTCAAATTATTGAAGAGTCACTAAACCTCTGGTCTCCTTCAAACAAGTCAGATTCCCATTTGAGTCTTGATATTATATTCCATAACCAACATAATAATCAAGCACTTTTTTCTCAAAAAGGCGAGAGCTTGTTTTGTCATGAAGCGACTGATGAGGAGAGAACGTGGTGCTGCTGCTGCAGTGCTGCTTGTATTCAGTCCATGCAGTGGAATCAGTGTGAATATGAAGAATTACATTCAGAAAAATAAAATGTCTCTCCGAGCCCAGTGTCTGATACAGCTTAAACAAACCTAAACCTACGGCTGTGTTCAGTGTGGTGAATGTTATACAATGGACAAAAAAAACAGGACATACAAATTGTGAAACAGCAAAAAAATGTAGTTTATAAATCAAATATCCTGCTGTCCCTCTCACTTTTGTTTTTCCATGCGTCACCCTTTGTTACCTTGCCTCTACAACACTGTTCCACCACACTGAACATGCCAACATTATCCCCACCCACCCACAAAAATACACTGCTCCCTCAATCACAAAACATGCCCAACTATATCGAGCATACCCTTCCCATTGCCCTCCACCACAAACAAAGATTAAAACAATGCAACCGCAAAAGAACTACACATTCAAGTACCTATTTGTCATATGGCACCAAGATCAACCAACATTTACCAGCCTGCAAACTCTCTTTCAATACTGCCACTTCAGAAAGCACAATGAATGTGCTGCTCATATATATAGCCATAAGTGTGTCTACAAAAGGGAATGCACATGTAAAGTATGTATATCCGATTTGTTTCTGTGCACATTTATGTCAAAAGGACTGAAATTAAAAAGCTTTTTTCTGACAACCATTTGTTTCTGAAAGCTCAATTTTTTTTTTTTTTTTTTTTTTAGTGCTTGAGTTGACAGAAATGAAACAGACTCCTGGTTGGTCCAAAGAGTCAAGCCAGACCTTTCCTAGCAGCAACCCCCAGTGCCTTTGAGGCTAGGTCTATGAAGGTAACTGTGGAAAAATTAAGGATAGCAATTTCAGTGACAGTGTGAACACTGTGCTGGACGTGGGTCTATTCTCCTCCATCCTACAGTCACTCACCCACCCTGGTGTAACACCAAAAAAAGAAAAAAGCTTTTCTCTGCCAGTCTGCTATACAATGTATTTGTGTTTTTCCATCAGTATAGGTCAGCCGGCTATAAGTGTGTGGAGCCAGGCAGCCACAGGTTGGCCCATTTCTACCTGTTGGTATGTAAACATGCTGGGTTGGGCTCCTGCCCAGGGCTGAGTGAGTTCAGCATTTACTTTTTATCCGTAATTTCACTGCAGCAAGATTTGTAAAATGGAGTCTCTCACTTGGTCTTCTGATGACAGGTTTAAATAATGCCCAGTACCAAGGGTTTCATGTTGCAAGCTAGCAACACCACACTGGCACCATGAGTTTGTGTCACTTTAGCAGCTCTCGCCGCCCCCACGTGATCAAGGTGCAGAAGATTAACAATGCATTTTATGGCGAAGTGGAAACACAAACCACACTGACTTGGAAGCTGCTCAGCAAGGCTCCACCGCCAACACCTCAGAAGGGCTGACCCATGCTGATAGAAAAACATGCATTTCAAGCCCCCTTGTCATTTAGATAACTACAGCACTCTGAAAAGCCATACATATTAAATTTTTTTAAAAGGAAATCAAAAATTGTAAATGGATTTTTTAAATAAAACCAAAAATGGCATTCTGTTTTTACACAGGTTATCTGAAAGATTAAAATAAAGGCAAGTTGTAGCACAACCTGGACTGAATGTGCTGAGAGACGCGGAAGAAGAAAGAAGGAGGTGAGGGTGGAAATCCTTGATCCCAAACCCCGTCTTTGGAACTGAACAGTTGACACAGCTTGGACTCATTTAGTTTGTCTATACACACACACACACACACACGCACACCAAATACCATGTCTGGGAATCAATAATATAATATAATATATAATTATTAATTAAATATATAATTTCTTTTCATTTCTTAAACAGCAGGCTCAAAAGCTTATGAATCTGGCAATGTCTTCCAACACAAATAACAGTTAAATCTCATCTGTCATATGAAGTGAGAGAGAGAGAGGGAGAGAAAGCAGAGACAGAGGGCAAAAGTGAGAATAACATTCTTTAAGAAAGGAGTGTGCAGGGACATGCAAGAAGAGTCAACACACTTTCATTGAAATCGTCTCCATGTCATTCCTGTCCACAGTTAGGCACGCAGGCCCATGTCCAGCTTTAGTTTGGACAAGGAATTGAGGGGCTGAACTGAAATTTGTTACCAGATAGGCTTGGTTCTCTTAGAAGTGCTCCTGTTGTGTTCAGGTGTGTAGCCTCAGATGATGGGCTCTCTGGTCTTTGGATAGCAAGGACTAAATCTGGGAGTTCTGTGAGGCTTTCTCCAGTAAGCTGGGTGCATGTGCAGGGGAAGTGTTGGGCCCTGTTTGAGTACCAGTAATGCCCAGAACCCCAAGCTTGTCTGAAGGTGAGAGTCGCAGGCTTGTGAGGTCGATCAGCTGCCAGTTAGGCACAAGTCAAGTTCATACTTCAAAACCAATAATGCCATAAAATTCAACCAATAAGCCACTGAAGTCCATTCACCTTACAAACATCCACGAGTGGCTGGTTTGGTAATGGTGGCCTGACTGGCTGTAAAGTTCTCTTTCTCAGTTCTGAGCAAGGCACCGTAGAGTCCCACAGCCTTCAGAGCAGGGCTGCTCATGTGTTTCCATCAACCCACAACAAAAACAACCACCACAAAGAAAGCAAAAAACACAAGGGGAAGAGAAAACTGTGCTTCCTTGTATCTCCTCTGATGGATAAAATCTATATGTAGTTGTCCTGTCAGACCATCAGTGCAGCTGTTCTCATTTTCTACAGCTACGTTTTATTAAAGAGTCAACTAAATCTGTTTTGCAGTCCTCCACATTTGGTGTCTTGTGTGTTTTTAAAACTAGTGTATCTTCATCTACTCAGCATGGGGGGGGGAAATAAACTGTAAAAATCCCAGACAAAATTAAAAGATGACTATGGATGTGATCTTGTGTGGAAAAGTGGTCCTGTGTTTTGGATTGGGCAGTTGTGCTGGACAGCTACCATTGGTACTCCGACTCAGCTCCGCTCTGTCAGAGGAAAGCCACCAAGAGAGAATGAAAAGGGGGAGATGTGAGAACGAGGAAATGGGGAAGAACAAGGTAACAGAGGGGGAGAAGAAAAAGAGGGCACACTTATCAAATGCAGAAACACAATCTTTAGAGTCACACGATTTTCTTCACCGACCTCCCACCTTCAAGGCCACGTTTTCCTAGGATCAACACAAAGCAATTACAACAATTAATAAAAAGTTTAAAAGCAGTTACAATAGCAACAGCCGGGGCACACTTTCAACCTGTATAGGTTCTTCCTGCAACAATACGCCAGTACAATTCGAAGGCCTTCTGCTTTGTTGCAGGGAGGGACACACACACAGTGAATGTTATATGCTTGCGTGCAGTTGTGGAAGGACTGAGTGAGACAGCGATGCATGCGTGTAAGGCCGGTGCATGTGTTTTTGTGTGTGTGCGCGCACGTGTGTGATGTCAGAAAGTGACAGACAGGACCAGAAACAACGACCATTCATCCTTACTGAACCTGGACAGTCAGACTTCCATACACACACACACACACACACACACACACACACACCTTAAACTCTAAATGGATCCACATGCTAGACAGTCAGTCGGAGCTGGGAGTAGATACTGATGGAGTGACGGGGGAAAATGTGTTGCAGGTCACCACTTACATGCCTGTAAGAATGTGTGTATGCATGTAGATGAGGGGTTTTGGGGGGGGGTGTAACAGTTATATATGTAATCACTTACCAAATGAAACAGGAGGGCTGCGTTAATCAGAGGATGAACACATAGTTAGACAAAATGATACATCCCTTTTGAATGTGCGTGTTTTAGTGTGCACTTTACCACACACCATTTGCCAACTATATTTTCAGTTGTTAGGCGTAGAACCATCCCACTATTTGTGTTATGACCACAATTTTCTTAACGGGGGGGGGGGGGAATCATATTGATTCTAGATCTGTTTTTTTTTTCCCCAGGCTCATTTTAACTGAGGCCAAAGCTTCATGTTTTATTTATTGTCTTGCTTCAGTTACTTTTTCCTAAACATCTGAATCACTGTTGCTTGTTAATCTATGGAGCATCATGCTGCTGCCAGCACATTAGTCTGAGCTCCATCTTGGTCTGTTAACCACATTTTGGATGGGACTGTCCGCAGGCCCCATTTTTGAAAAGAAAATTTACAAACATCAGGTTTGGTTAGGTCAGAAGTATGATGCACTAGTACTATGATGAAGCTAACATTAGCTACATGAGATGATGATTTGGGGCAATGCATTAGAACATATGTCATCTCTAACAATTTTGCCAACTGTATTGTGTGCATGACATGCCTGTTTTTTCCAGCTGTTTTACTGCTAGTTGTGTTAACATAGCACTACTACTACTTTACTGTGTAAAACGTTAAGGTGGAAAATATAAGGTGTTTCACATAGTGAGGACCAGCCAAAATGTCCTCACTCTGTAGCAAGTAAAAGTACTCGTACACACACAACATCACGCATATACAAGAGTCATCCCTTTCAGCTGTCATGCTCCATCTCAGGACTTCTGATATGTCCATCACTACTAGACACACACACACGTACACCAGGTATAGCAGCTAATAAACAAGTAGACTGAGCTTTAAAATAACAATTCTTAAAAAGAACTGTCACAGTAGTATCTCTGTGTGCATTCCTCTACAGACACACCTGCTCCCTCATTTAAAACCACATACACACATGTAAGCACCCATGCACAACAAACAAACTGCTTTCACGTCATTATGTCATAGTGGGCATGTTTCTGTAAAACCTGCAGACAAGTAGAGATCTGTAAAATCCAGTTTTCAAGTTTGTGTACAAGGCAACATCCTGACGAAGTACGATTATGACCGACTCTTAGTGGAATACAATATGAAATACTGTCCACAGCCTGACGCAGGATACCATTAGAAACATGACTTTCATATTTCCCATTTTATAGATGAAAGACCACATCTACATTAGGCCGGGTTCATCTAAAGCAGGGGTGGCCAATTCCAGTCCCTATGAGGGCCGCTGTCCTGCTTGTTTTCCAGCTATCCCTGCCTGACCTGCTGCTGATTACCTGGCACAGGTGTGTTCAGCCAGTCAGAAGCTGGAAGATACCATCTTAGATGAAATTGGAGTGAGGAAAGATAAAGTGAATTGGTATCTTCCAGCTTCTGACTGGCTGAACACACCTGAGCCAGGTAATCAGCAGCAGGTCAGGCAGGGATAGTTGGGAAAACAAGCAGGACAGCGGCCCTAGAGGACTGGAATTGGCCACCCCTGATCTAAATGCATCTCTCTGCCTCCGTTTTGAATGTCTGTCCAGACTAAAACTAAGGCTGCCTTTTTGTTGTTTTCTTGAACTTACTCTGGAGGAGAAAAAAGATGGCAACACAGTTCTCAGCTTGTTCTGTGATGAAGCCATTTTCCAAACTTGGGCAGAAAAAGCACTTTTCCTCCTTTTTTTCTGGGCCACAACAAAGGTAACCCACTGCACTAGCAACAAACATGGGCTGTGTATTGTAGAACATACTGAGCACAGGAACAAACAGCAAAGACAAGGACAATGAGGCAGTAATGGTCTGAAAAGTATCTTTGGACATTTCGTAATTGTTTGTTTGCAATAGAACTGCTGAAAGGCTGACTACAGCCACTGTCCTTAACCCTATAAAACCATTTGTATCATATCTGATACGTGAGGTTTCTAAGAAAAAAAAGCAACACACACCAAAAATGCCCCATGTATCAAATGTGATACAAAAGAAATAGAAATAATCTAAATAATATGGCACCTCTATTCCTATATGCCCGGACTGTCTGTCTATGCATATATGGCAAATAAAAATTGTGAATCTTGAATTTCAAGTCATGAATTATATTTTGGATTTTGTTAAAAGGTTTAATAAACATCTCAGTTCCAAAAAGTTAGAATGTTCTGGCTATTTTTTTATATGTTGGGCTTTACAGGGTTAATGAAGGAGGAAGCCACTTTCCAAACCTACACAATGTGAGTGTTTGAAACTTTTTCAGTGAGGTATTTTATCTTGCTGCTGTCTATAGCCTTATCTACACTGTGTGTGCATGTGTGTCTCCAACTGCAACTTTTATTTCCAATATTTCTATAATATGTAAAAGCAGCGCAGAGATGAAAGATGCAGAATCACATCTGACTTCCAACAGGAAGTCCTCAACAAAAAGGGGAGCGCTATTTTCATAGCAGAGGTACAGTGGATACGGAAAGTATTCAGACCCCCTTAAATTTTTAACTCTTTGTTATATTGCAGCCATATGCTAAAATCATTTAAGTTCATTTTTTCCTCATTAATGTACACACAGCACCCCATATTGACAGAAAAACACAGAATTTTTGACGTTTTTGCAGATTTATTAAAAAAGAAAAACTGAAATATCACAGGGTCATAAGTATTCAG